AAGGCTGGCGGTTCAAACCCACCAGCCACTCCTTGGAAGGAAGGTTGGGCAATCCTACTTCCGTAGTGATACTGCCTCGGAAACCCAAGGAGGGGGGCGCCGACTCGATGGCAAACAACAACAACAACAACAACAACATAGCAAAGGAGAGAAGGAAGAAAGGGTAAAAATATCAGGAGGAGTGAGTAAACAGAATGTGAGCTTCAAAGTGATCAGAACTTTGTGTTGTATACCCCAAGCATAGAGCACATTTAGAATGTGCCTGGCACATTGTTAGGACTAAGTCAATACTTGCAGAATTAATGAATTACCTGGAAATGATCTATTAGCAGAATAAGTCCTTTCACCACACTGACAGGGTCACCAGATGCTGACAGCATTTTGGACATCAAATCACTGTATCCGTTGAAAAAAGTGACAGGTCTGAGCTGAACATCAAAGAGGATGGCTGACATGCCAGCATAGGAGTCAAGGTTCTCTTCACCCTCATCAGGAGTGGCTGCAATTAAACCCTCCAGTCCTTGAGCTTCAATGACCACCTGGGGGAGAAATCAGTGCATCATAAATGACACAAGTCATGTTCTGCCTGCTCTATATGGAAAGAGGAAGTGCTAGGCTACAGCTGGAACTTCTCCAGGGGACAAAAATGCAAATATCTGAAAAATCTATGAAATGGAAATATAAAGGAGAGTTTTTCTCCATTTAAGGTTCATAAACATTTTTTGAGGAACAAAATGATTTTATCCATTTTGTAGATGAGGAAAAATAAAGGTTCAAGTTAACCCAATTAGTAAATAGCAGAAGCAGGATTCAAACCCCTTCTGTCCAACTCCAAAGCCCATGCATTTTTTTTTTTTTTCCATTTTATTTTGTCATACTGCAGCCTCTTAGTCTCTCCAGACCTGTCATATAATGGACCGGGAAAGGCAGGAAATCAATCTAGTCCTTAAAGTGCAATTCTCACTGCACTGAGCCTGGATTTAGGCCCAAGGATCAAATGTTCAAGCTCAAACCCAAAGGATATTCTTGTAGAGACTCAAAAAGGGGACGGAGGGTATTAGGACAGAGAGGACCTTAACAGAAGGTTACTTCCACTAGAGAGTATGGAACTCTCTAAGCTATGAGTCACACTTTTTTGTGTCAAACTTTTGTCTCTAGTGAAGAATGAGAAGATGCTGAACATCACAAGGGGTTCACACCCTGATTCTAACATACATAGTCATCCGTCATATTGTCTGTTCTCCATACCCAGGCCCTTAATCACCATGTGTTTTGCATTTTAGAGTGGACATCAGAAAACAGATGTTGATTCCTCAGGACAGAAGGGCATAGTATTGTGACTATGGTCCTATAAAAGAGTGTATATTACAGTATGTATATTAAAGTACTATAATATTGATAGAAGCTCTGGTGGCATAGTGCCTAAGGCATATGACTTCTATCCATAAGGTTGGCGGCTCAAATCCACCAGCCACTCCTCGGAAGGAAGACTGGGCAATCTACTTCTGTAGAGATACTGCCTCGGAAACCCAAGGAGGAGGTGCTATGAGTTGGGACTGACTCAAAAGCAGTGAGTTTGGTTTTTTTTTTAGTATATAATATTGATACAACAACAAAACAACTCACTCCATCGAGTCGACTCCAACTCACAGTGACCCCTCTTTGGGTTTCCGAGGCAGTATCTCTACAGAAGTAGATTGCCCAGTCTTCCTTCCGAGGAGTGGCTGGTGGGTTTGAATTTCTAGTCTTCTGATTAGCAATCATATGCATTAGGCACTATGCCACCTTACATAGCACTGGATCATATTTAAAGATTGTATATAACCTTATTTACAAGATTATAACTTAATATACATTAAAACTACAAAGGTAGTATGTCTTATAAATATTGTTGTTGTTGTTAGGTACCATTGAGTTAGCTCCAACTCATAGCGACCCCATGTACAACAGAACTAAACACTGCCCCATCCTGCTCCATCTCCAAAATCCTCACTAAGCTTGAGCCCATCATTGCAGCCACTGTGACAATCCATCTCATTGAGGGCCTTTCCCTTCTGCACTGACCCTCTGCTTTACCAAGCATGACATCCTTCTCCAGGGAATGGTACTTTTGGACAACATATTTCATAAATAGAAAATCTTTATAGATTGTCACCTAATTTTGGATAAAGAGCTCTGGTAGCATAGTGCCTAAGGCACTTGACTGCTAACCAGAAGGCTGGCTGTTCAAACGCACCAGCCACTCCTTGGAAGGAAGGTTGGGCAACCCACTGCCATAGTGATACTACCTTGGAAACCCAAGGAGGGGTCGCTATGAGTCGGGTCTGACTCGATGGCAAATAACAACAATAACAACAATTATGGATAAAACTAAAGAGATTGGAGTCACCATTTGTCAAATGTCTGTACTTTTTTTTCCCTGAAGTATTAGAAAACAAATGGAGACTCTTCAGAGAGTTATATTCTATTTAGACGGTTTCTATTATTGGAAGTCGCAACCTCTTCATAAAAAATAAGAATACCCACAGAAGGAAAATATATTCTAGAATTAAACATTTGGAGTTCTGAGAAATATATGTGAGAATAAAATAAAATATTATGGAATACTGGCACAAATTCAATTTTGTGAATATGTGTACTTTGGAAAAGACAAGTGGATGTTTGGCAAGTCCAAACCCCAACCAAACCAAACTCACTACCATCAAGTTAATTCCAACTCATAGTGACCCCATTGAGCTTCTAAGGCTATAAATCTTTAGGAAAGTAGTTGTTGTTGTTAGTTGCCGTCAAGTCATTTCTGACTCATAGCAACCCATGCACAGCAGAATGAAACACTGCTGGATCCTGCGCCAGCTCCACGATACCTGCTACACTTGAGCCCATCATCGCAGCCACCGTGTCAATCCATCTCGTTGAAGGCCTTCCCCTCTTTCGTCGATCCTCCACCCTACCAAGCATGACATCCTTCTCCAGGGAATGG